AGCCCTTTCTGACCATCTCCCTTGCTTAGCAGTGAAGCAGCCCATCTCTTTTTGCCCCTGCCCAGGTGGTGGGATTCATAGAATCATAGAATCGTTTAGGTTGGAAAAGACCTTTAAGATCATCAAGTCCAACCATTAACCTAACTCTGCCATCCCACCACTAAGCCATGTCCCTAAGCACCTTGTCTACCTGGCTTTTAAATACCTCCAGGGACGGGGACTCAACCACTTCCCTGGGCAGCCCCTTCCAATGCTTGACAACCCTTTCAGTGAAAGAAATTTCTCCTAATATCCAACCTAAACCTGCCCTGGCATAACTTGAGGCCATTTCCCCTTGTCCATTTTCCACCTAGGAGAAGAGGCCAACCCCCACCTCGCCACAACCTCCTGTCAGGCAGTTTTAGGGAATGGTAAGGTCTCCCCTCAGCCTCCTCTTCTCCAGGCTGAACAACCCCGGTTCCCTCAGCCGCTCCTCATCAGACTTGTGCTCCAGACCCCTCACCAGCTTTGTTGCTCTCCTCTGGATCTTCAGCCCTTTTCTTCTCCTAATTTGCGGCTTTCCCTCCTCTCATCCCTCTGTGCTGGTCACTCACCTACCAACACCCATGTAAGGATGCCCAGGCCTCCCTCCCCTCTCCTCTCTAACGGGAGACCCCCCTCCGCTCCTCCTGTCCCACTTTCAGCCCCATGCTGGTGTCTTCACCAGCCCAGTGGGGTGTAGAGAACTGGGGGCAAAGCCACGTGTGTGTCTTGCCTCTCTCTGAAAATCATCTCTTTTAGGAGAAGTCTTCATGAGTGCTCCTTGCCTCATGATCCTGATGACTTTTTTAGCTGCCTATGCTGACAGAAGGATCCTGTGGTTCAGGCAGGGACACAGTGTCTGCCTCTGACTGGCTCCCCAGGGGGTTTGCACAGCGCAAGCTGCAGAGGGGTCCCCATCTCTATTGGGGTCTCTCTGCGGTCCCCAGTCAGCTGCATGGCATTCCCAGGATAAGCCTGCTGGGAAGGGCAGCCCTGACCCCTGCTCTGCCTGCTCTGATCCTGCTTCCCCCTGGGGCAAGGCTCCAGCGTGTTCCCAGCCCCAGCCAACGCTGCAGGGACACCTCAGGGCAGCAACAAGTGACACATATGTGGCAGCTTATAGAAAGGATTGGGGAGTCTGTTCCCCTTTTTATTGAAAATGATAGTTTCTATTCTAGTGCAAACACTGTACATTTTACATCACAAAGCAGGAGGTAATTTACAGGATATGCTTCCATCTGGGAACGCCTCCCATGGCTTCACGCGTCAGGCTCCACCAGCCTCATCAATCATCCATCCCTGTCATGCTCACAAATCCCACTTAGAGGGAATCGGCCACCTATTTCTATGTCAAGGTGGGGGAAGGGGGCTGAGAAATCAGTATTTGTACAGAGCAGGGGAGAGGAATGTGCCTCAAGACCATTTTCTCCCCTGAATAGTACACAAACTTAGTGATAACCGGGGTAACCATGGCAACTTCCTAGGAGCTGTGACCAAATGTCTACTAAAACCCTGGAGAACTCCATGCTTTCAGGATAAGGCCCTTAATTTGCACATATATTTACATGGTTCAATAAAACACAGATTAAACATACACATAATATTTCGCTTTGGCTTGATAGACAGCTAGACACTGCCTGTTGGCTGGGGGCATGAGCAATTAAGAAGCAATCCAGCTGGACTCTGTTTAGCAAATCCATGTAAATGAAGCAACATTGTCTCGGATGCTCAGGTTTACATCTTGATGCCGCCCAGCTCAAAGACGATGTAAAGGTCTCATGTGGCCTGACAACAGCCCAGTCAGCTGTGATGGCACGCCCAAACCAAGCAGCCCAGCCCAAGGCGAGACCCAACTAAAACTGGAAGGGTGAAAGCTTACACAACCTTCCAGAAGGAGCAGCCCCATGCAAGTCAATTCATTTCCTCACACAAATAAAGTGCGGAGGGTGAACAAGGGTTTGCACTGGCATTTATGTGAGTCCCTTCATGTAAACATCATGGCGTGGGGGCAGGGATAGATATCTCAGTTCACAGATGGATAACGGGGTAGCAGGAGCCTCATGCTCTCTGAACTGCCCCTTTGCTAACTTCAGAAACAGGTGCCTGTACACAGACACCAAAGTCGGCTGCTTATGGTGATTTTTCTACCGCAGAAAAGGTGGGCAGAGGCTAGGGGAAAGCCACAGACCACCAAGATGCTGAAGGAAACAACTGAACTTCCAGGGTGGACACTCGGGCAGCCTTGGGCCACCACAAGGGAGTTTGTTCAGGCTGCTGGGATGTTGGTGGGTGGCGGAGGAAGGCAGCAAGGCAAGGAGAGGGGAGAGCACCAGGCTAAGGCACTCAAATGACCAGTTCAACCTCTGAGGAACGTTACACTGCACTGGGTCCTTTTTCTTTCTGATCATGCAGGACGTGTTCTTCAATAGTTTCTCTGTGTAGGCACAGGAACCACGAGTGAGTTTCTAAGTGAAGACTCAGCTTCCCAATATGATCACTTGGCTCTAGGGATTGGAACCACACTACTCATGATAGAAATATTTTGCTTTAGAGACGTTAGCTTCTCCAGACTACAGAAGGAAGGGCCAAAAAAAGGGATCAAACAGAACATCGTGGATTTCTTAAAACGCAGTGCTTGACCAGCCTTGCTTTCCCTGCTGGTGTTCTGACCACAAACGTAATCTGCGACTCTCAGCTTTTTGTTCTGATTACGATTACATTTTTTTTCCCCTCAAAAATATCCATAGAGGGAGAAAAAAAAAATCCAACAGAAACACACACAGTCACCGGCACAGCTTACACCAGTTTGGATTTGGGGCTTTTTTTCCCAGTGTTAGCTCAAATACTTTCATACATTCATCTTCTGCCAGTTTTATTTTCACCTTCACTTTAGAGAGATTTCTCATGTCCTGCAACATGCTATTTTAGACTATCAAAGCCCACTGTCAGACATCTACATCTGCTCAGTGTGTCTGCAGCAAACACCAAGATGGAGAACTGAGCCACTCTACCAGAAGTATCCCTCATGACTGAGCTTCATTCTCCTTCCCTTATGGTCCAGCCTGGACCATGGAGTAGCTCTGCTACCTTTAGTGGGGCTATTCCACGGCAAAGTCCCACTCAGTATGGGCAGGTCTTCCGCACAAGCGCTATTTGCCATAAATAAGTCCCCTCCTCCTCCTAGATCTGTAAGAAGTAGACATCACCAGCAACAAGACAGACCCCAATTTCCTCAGGATGCTTGCATGGAACCCCTTTTAGGTTGCATCTCCTCTACTCTTCATGGAGAAAATGAAATTAGGTCCTAATTAGCTCTCCACACCCCAGAGAGGGGAGGACAGCAGGCAGGGAGAGCAAAGGAGAGTGGTTAAGGCTACAGTACAAGCCTCACCAGGCAGTGTTATCGGAACTGGGGGGAGATATGGTCTTCTTGTGGGATGCTCCCTGCTGAGACATTACCCATCCTCAGAGGGGCTGGGAGAGACTTTCCATGGGGCTGTCCTTGCATGTTCCCAAGAGCCACATGAACCTACCTGGCTGGAGAGGAGATCCTCATCTCATTCTATGAAGCTGCAAATATCCATGGGGAAAATCTACAAAGAAGGAGCGTGGCTCCCTCCAGCACCACTTCTTTGGGCTGTCTCATGGGAAGACGTGAGCTGGCCATTTCAAGCACCGCTTGAGGCTACTGGAAAGAGCTCTGACAAGGGTGAGAGAAACTGAGGCTGGAATTTCAATGCACGGCTCCAGGAACCTGGATGCAGCACAAACACCCCAAATATTTTCAATGGATTTTATTTTGTTTAATAAAAAACACCAACCAAGCTTGCATGTATATCTTATATATATAAATATATACAGTATATATAAAACAAATGCATCTGGACAGCGCCTTTCCCTGTGGCGCAAACTGTAAGGCACAGAAAGGAGTGTCCTAACAGTCCTATTCTTGGCACTACAGAGCGATCCCCCACCACTACGCCCCCCCCGCTCACATACCCACGTTGGCTTTTCTCTCTTCTTTGGCTTTTTGAGGCAGCAGTGCCAGGAATACTCAAGAAAGCAATGAAGCACTGCAAAGCCCAAGGAGGTCTTCCTCACATCCAGGTCTTCCATACTGGTCCAGGCAACCTGGGCGGGACGACCCCATCTTGTTGCACTACCGGGCTTCTTGCAGGCTAATGGTAATGGCGCTGCTGCTGTGGCACGAGGGACTGGAGGGATGAAGGGTCAGGCAGATACAACAGAAAGCGGTGACCAAACAACTTCTTCTAGGGTGAGCTGGGGCAGGGGGGAGAGGAGCAAGCTTTGCATCTCAGCACGATGGCAGGTGGGACATGTCCACGGGCTGACAGAGGCAGGTTTCTTTTTGCAGTCCCATATGAAAATGGAAACCGACAAGGGTGAGACTGTCCTTTACTGAAGAAGCTCGTAGTATATTGAGCAGAAGCAATAAACCTGACAATAACAAGAAAAAAAAAATGGTGGCATTATCCCAAAAGGAAGGAGGAACCTTGTCACTCGCGAGCGGTTCCGTTTGCTCCCAGTTTG